TTTAAAAGGTCTTACTCCAAATTGGCAAGTTATTGAAACTGTAATTTTCATAATTTGTATCTCATCACAATCATCTTATTGTGTGACAGCCAAGTTTTACCTTCCGTTGAAAATTAACATGTAGAAACATTAATTAATGAACTATAGGGGCTTTCATAACTTTGAATTTATGGACCTACATGTTCATGTATATGTGTTTTAAGGACTTTTTACTCTGTAATACCAAGCCAGGCTTCAGAGAGTAGAAAGGCACGTATTGTAGAAATGGGCATGAAATGTGTATGAAACCAAATGCATGATTTCAGTGGAAAGAAGGCTTCAATGTGGGATGTCAGTTTGCAAAATATATTCCTGAGAAAAAACATCGACTTTCACAAAGATGACTGATGTTTTTGGCATGTGTTTGTTACTCTTCTGAATAATTCTATTGTCTAACCCAGCGATGGGACGTGGGTGGGCAGAGAGAAGGAGAGACAAATATCTAAGGGCCTTTTTGGTGGCTGCGGAGAGGTTGGATACCGATGACTAATACCAGTTTAGTTAATTAGAACAAGAATTTTAGTGGCTACAATATTCATTTGATAAATTATAACAGTGGTAATGATTACAGTTTAGAAAGCAGTTGAAAGTAGCTGCATTACTCCAAAGAGGCTTGCAGGCTGCTGAGGGACACCGCACAGCTCCCCTGGGCTAAAACTCCCATCAAGGGCTTGGCCAGGCTGGCGGGAGGTCCAGCCTCACGCTCAGAGCCATGTTGGCTGGCACGACCTCCCCCAGCTCTGTTGCTCCCTCCAGGCTGCTTTGGGGTAGCCCAGCTGCACACCCCCCTTGCCATGAGGACCTGATGCTTTTGTGAACTCTTGCCTGCCTTCCTTTCCAAGGGGGGGATCCCTGTAAGCCCCCGGCTCGTTAAGGGGAAGAGGCCTCACGCTCATTAGCACGCCTGGGAACCAGGCCTCCGAACCTTCTCCCTTTCAAGCCCATTAGCCGAGGTCTGCGGAGCAGTGCCGGGCGCATTAGATGCAGCCCACTGGCAGCTGTGGGAGAACAGTGCAGGTCACCCGGTGGACACGAGGTTCAAATCGCCCCTCCGGGGGTTTTTCTCAGCCAGATTTATGGGAAGGCTTCACATCCAGAGCTATGTTCAGTGATCCCGACAATCAGCCTTTTTGTATTCACACCTCCATTTATTTACAAAATTCTCGATTTCTAGAAACCCTGACCCTTTCTGAACTAGCAGCCCTCAGAAGTGCCATGTGGTGCTTTGATTCAACTAATGCTCATCTTGCTACCAACTGAATGCTAACTGCTCATTAAAAGCAGAGTATGTGCTGAGCTTGTTAAAAATTAAAGAGCTGCTGGCTTCACAGAAGCCTGGTATCTTAAAAAACAACAACTCTTCAGCCATTCGCTAATATCAATTAACTACATAAGAAAGAACAAATGGGCAGCCAGGGTTTGAAATATAAAAGCTTGCTTGTCTTTCTGTAACCTGCCATGCAAAGCCCAGCACTGCTGTTGTGAGAAACTTAGTGCCTCTGCTTGGTCCCAGCCAACTGTTTCTACAGGTGGCTTGGAAGAATTTGAAAGGTTTTACCTACTAATCACTATTTTGGTTAATCATGGAAAAATAGAATTATCTCTCATTTCTTCTCTCTCCCATCACAAGCATGTAAATTAAAGTAAAAATGTAGCCCTTTTTGTCTGCTTTGTTCTCAGGTGAAACAAAGACAACACCTACTGATGGATCTCAACAGAGGGATGAGCAACAGTTACGTCTGGAGAGTTATGACAATAGGATTTTTAAGCAGGTGCCAGGCGTCCATCCAAGAGTGACACAATCTGAATTTCTAGAGGTGATTCCACTGCTGACCCCAATGGACAGGTTGACATTTTGTTCAACAGACATTTATCAAATGTCAGTCACTGAGCTGGCTTGAGAAGCCAGATCTGGCATCCTTCTAATCCCACTTCTATGATCATGGGCCAAGCCAACATCATCTCTTACCTGGATTATCACTATGCCTTTCTAAATGGTCTCCTGCCTTGTCTTACCCTTACCCTTGCCTCCATAGCCTGTCCTCCACTCAGAAGCGAGCAATACAGTTCAAACATGATGAGGCCTGCCTCTCTGCTCTACTCTCCAGGGGCTTCCCATCTCACTCAGAGAAAAGTTTACCAAAAAAAAAAAACCACCAGCCCTAGAAAACACAGACTCAGACAGTGACCTCATTTCCTCCCACACTACCCCTTGTTCTGCTCTGGGCAAATGGCCTCCTGTGATTCTGAAACATGCCAAGCACGTCCTGTCTCCCCCTCGCAAGGTCTTGGAATGCACATGACTCTCGGCCCCAGTGTCACCTTCTCTGTGAACCCACATAAAATCAATTCCCCTGCTACCACCACTGCCACCCACCCCTCACAGCAAGCCTTCCTCCATCTGTTTGTTTTTCTCCAGAACATTGATCACCGACATATGGATTAGTTTGTTCACTGCTCCATCTCTCCCCACTGCTGCACCACTAGAATATAAGCTTCCCGAGAGCAGAGACTTTGCTTTGCTCTTTGAGGGATGTCCCTGTGACTGGAACAGTGTCCTGCACATAGTAAGACTCAAGCATTCATTGATTGGATTAATAAATGTACTGAAGTTGGGGTTAAAACCAAAAAGAAAAAAACATAATCACCTCCTTCAAGGATCTCTCAATGTATTAGAACAGAGGGTGGCAAATTTTTCCTATGAAGGGAGAGACAGTCAATATTGTTGGCACTGCAGGCCACACAGTCCCTGTTACACTGCTCAACTACCATTGTAGCATGCAAAAGGAGTCATATAGAATACGTAAATGAATGAGTGTAGCAGCCCAGTAAAATCGTGTCTACAAAACCAGGTAGCAAGCTGGATTTGGCCCGTGTGTTAGAAGATAGAGACATGTACAGCTAGTCAAAATATAAATGAAAATCACTCTCAGAGAGGTATGAAGAAAATGCTGTGAGGGCAACAATGGCAAGGATGGTAGAGTAAGACTTTGACAAGAACACACAAGTTTCAAGTGCTATCAGGAAATGATATGCAATGGGATTTCACCCTGACATCAGTGGAAATGATGTAAGTTGAATGCTATGGGGCAATTCATGTAAGAAACATTTAATAACAGCTGCTCAGAACTGGATCTTTTTTTTTTTATTGCTATAGTACTTGGCATGGTGCTTGTACAAATGTGTATGCTGTAAACACTAGTTAAATGTGTTAAGTGATGACAAAATATCTAGATGCAAAGTGAGGTTCAGCCAATTTTCTGAATCTTTTGCCTGTATGCTGCCAATAGTAAGGGGATTTTTGATTTGACATCTATAGTGGATCCCATTTTTTTCTACTTTTATCTAGAGTTTACCATGGTATAGATATCATTTTTGTTAAATTACTCAATATGTTACCAGTAAGCATACATTCCATCCCCTCCCCCCCCACACTTTAAAAAATTAGCAGGGTTTATTTCCCAGTTTTCTTTAAAATATATTTTTTTGAGAAATGAAAATGCCATTCATACTTTCACAAAATATTAGTCCCTCTAGGTGTTTGGTCCTGGGACAAGGAACGGTGACACCTAGTCTCTGCCTAAGTGATCTTAGGGGAGAGAAAATCTGAACAAATTGTCATGCAACATAACAAAAGACACATGCCAAAGAGGGGATTTGGAAGCTTCCTGAAGGAGGCAACATGCCAAGTGGGTTTTAGAATATGAACAGGGGTTCACCATGAACATAGATGTGGGTGTCAGTAGATTATGTAGAAAATGTTATCTTTTCTTTTCTGAACTACCATAATTTAATTTCCAAGCCTAAAAAGAGAGAGAGGGGGCTTCTTAAGTGTCACTACAATGGAAGGAAATCACACTTGCATATCATTGTCAGGAAATTCTATAGAGCAACACTTTTCTCAATGGGCTCATTGGTCCTCATTCAGAGGAGGATGTGGCTAAGCGTGAGAACCCCTTGCCACAAACAGGGAATGGCAACAATTCACAGCTCGCATTTCTGCTTCTCTGAGGTTTGTAGTCTAGAGCAAGGCACAGA